CGGGCCACACGCCTTTCGCGTCGGGCATCCGGATCCGAGCTTCGGCGCGACCATAGGTGAAGTCGAACTTGTCCCTGCTCTCGATCCGGCCCGAGAGGAAATCAGCCTTCCGGTCGGGGTGCGGGTCGACGCCGGGCTTGAACACGGGACGCAGCATCAGCGCGCCGCCATCGGCGCCCGAAAGTCCGTCGATGATCGACAGCACGGCAGGTGCATCGACATAGGCCTGCTGTTCATTGTTGACCCAGAAATCGGTCCCGATGACGCCCCATCTGTCGCGATCGAGCTCGGGCATATTGAATTCGTCGGCCCAGACGAGCGTGCGGGCGGATGGCTCCTCGGCTGCCAGCGGCGTCGCCAGCAGGCCGAATACGCCGACGCAAAGCGAGATTGTGATGCGGATCATGATGCGCTCCCCAAGACTGTGAACGTTCTCATTACAGGCATTCTCTCGCATTTCCAGCCCCCGTGAGTAGCAATTTCCGCGCAGGGCTGGCGCTGATCCGCAGGATCGGCAATAGCGCGGCAGCGTTGATAAGAACCCAGCGTGCGGGCTGCAGGCCCGCCGCGAAAGACCTTCGGAGAGTTGCCCATGCGCCGCCTTGCAGTCCCGCTCGCCCTTCTGCTCGCCAGCACCGCCTGCACGACGATGGAGGGTGCCGCGCCCGTCGCCGCTACGCCCGCGCGGATGGTCTCGCCCATCCTCACCACGCCCGACGCCGTCGACAGCGCAACCTATGCGCAGCCGCAGGTTGCGCGGGTGACGCATGTCGCACTCGACCTCGATCTCGATTTCGATGCCAGGCGTGTCGGCGGTGTCGCCGATCTCGACATTCTCGCCGCACCGGGTGCCAAGGAGATCGTGCTCGACACCAAGGGGCTGGAAATAACCGGTGTGACCGATGGCGCGGGCCGTGCACTGGCGTATGAAATCGGCGAAACGGTCGAGGAAGGCGGCAAGGGGGCACCGCTGACGATCGCGCTCGACGGCGCGACCAAGTTGCGCATCGCCTATCGCGCACCGGCCAATGCCGAGGCACTGCAATGGCTCAGCCCCGAACAGACCAAGGGCGGAGTACACCCGTTCCTCTTCAGCCAGGGCCAGGCGATCCTCAACCGCAGCTGGATACCGACGCAGGACAGCCCCGGCATTCGCCAGACCTGGGAAGCGCGCATTACCGCGCCCAAGCCGCTCGACGTGGTGATGAGCGGCGTGCGTCAGGGGGAGCCCGAAGACCTCGGCAATGGCCGCCGCGCCTTCCGTTTCGTAATGGACAAGCCCGTTCCGCCCTATCTTATCGCGCTGGCCGCGGGTGACATCGATTTTGCCGAGCTCGGGCCGCGCACCGGCGTCTGGGCCGAACCCGCGACGCTGCCGCGCGCGGCCCGCGAAGTCGGCGACACCGAGCAGCTCGTGTTGGCAGCCGAGAAGCTCTACGGCGAATACCGCTGGGGTCGCTACGACATGATCGTGCTGCCCCCCGCATTTCCCTACGGGGGGATGGAAAACCCGGTGATGACCTTTCTTACCCCGACCTTCATTGCCGGAGACCGCTCGAACAACGGCCTCGTCGCACACGAGCTGGCCCACAGCTGGTCGGGCAACCTCGTCACCAATGCGGTGTGGGAGGACAGCTGGCTCAACGAGGGCGTGACCTCCCTATTCGAGAACCGCATC